AAATTCACAAATTTTCCAAAAAAGCAGAGGAAGTTTCAAAACTTTGACTTGTTTGAAGGTCATTACTTTTTTCTTAAACAAACTGGGCATAGCCACCTATAGGGGTAGGCTTTAAACAATATGCTCTTTCGATTAAAGCTATGATATCAGATTTAGCCGGATAACCAGCGAGAAAAGACCAAAACAAGGTCAACAAATCAAAAGTTTGAATTTTCCGATTGTCCAAACGTTTGAACCCACGATATCAGATTTGAGAGGATAGTTTTCGAGAAAAGCCAAAAAGATTTACATAACGGTCAACAATTTAAAAAAAGACTATTCCGAGGGCCATATTTTATGTGTAAAAATACGGGCGTAGGCACTTCTGCAGAGAGCTTTTCAAAACCGTTCTAATCATTGAAACAAAAAAGTCAGATTTGAGAGTGGTCGTTTTCGAGAAAACAAAAAAAAATCAGAAATATGGGTCAAAGTCCCCCCTCAGACTCTTTCGAAGGCTGTAGACAGAGGGGTCCAGAAAAAGAGACTCTAGGGGATTATGCGGGCAAACAGGGTAGTAGGCAGTCTTTAAATTGATACCCTTTTTTGAAAATCAGTAGAAGCTGAGAAAAACCAAAACGTTTTCAATAAATTGGCCGACTATTTTAATTGCAACAATATATAATTGCATCAATAACAGAATAAAAACAGGCCCAGGTCAGATTCGAAGATAGGACTTTTGCCGTCCTAGACATATTAGTTACCTCCATGCTACGTTGACCGGCAACACATAGACGTTTCAATTCATTATGAACCAAGATACAAGTGATTCTGTCAAACAAGTTCATAACCCGAAAAAGTATATTTTACAGTTTGATAACGCTTGCTATTCGAAAACCTTAAGATAACTAGATCCCAGCTAAAAATGGCGAAATCTGTTTGATATTCTTTAAATTTGTTGTACTGATGCGAGACGAAATGGTAATTTCAAAAAATTGACTTTGCCAAAAACCTTAGTGGTTTCTCTACTAAAATAAGTGACAAGAGTGACATGTTTTGAAAAATAAGAATTTTCTCCAGAACATAATTTAATTTTAAGACAAAGAGCCTATCCCCTTCTGCAGAGAGACTCTCACAACAGATTCTTTCGATTGCACCTTTCATCTCAGATTTTTAAAAAAATTCAAAAAACTCAAAAACTTGATTTTCCGAAATCCACAACTTTTTTCTGCAAACAACAGCTAATTGCCGCTTCAGCAAAAAAAATACGCAAAGCATGGTTTCTCGATTGAACACTTAATCTAAGAAGGGCAGGGTTGTTTCCGCTTCGTAAGTTTTGTTGCGTAAGTAAGGAACTCTTCGAGAGCCATGAAATTTTTTAAAGAAATTTGGCGAAGCCAATCAATATTAATAGGCTTTCAACGTATACCCTTATTGTCAGATTTGGCGAGTTAGTGATCGATAATAGTCAAAATTTTACAAAGAACGGTCAACAAATTAAAAATTTGGCTTTTCGAAAATCAGATGTTTATGTAAGAAATGGACTTATGCAGAAGATACTTATGCACGCTGTTATTTCGATTGAACTCAAAACTCGATTTAGTGTCAAACCAAAAAAAGGTTAGGGTTAGGCTCCCCACAACAGCCTATTACTTCGTTTGAACTCGTAGTTTTCGAGAAAAATCAAAAATAGAAAAAAAACATTGAAAAATTAACATTTGACGTTTCTGAGGGCGATAACATCCTGTGTACAAAAAAATTAGGTATTGCAGAAAAACTTTAGACCACCCGTTATCTCCATTAAACCCAATCTTAGATGTGGGAGAGTAGTTTTAGAAAAAAATCAAAAAGTGGGAAAAAAACATCAAAAAATTAACATTTAACGTTTCCGAGGGCAATAACATTCTGTGTACAAAGAAAAATAAGGCACGACCGCTATTGCAGAAAATCTTTAGACCACCCGTTATCTTCAATAAACCCACAATGTTACATTTGGGAGAAAAATTTTTGAGAGAAGTCAAGAAGATTCAAAATACGGTCAAAAACTCAAACATTTGTGAATCCCGAGGGCCATCAATTTTAGCGTAAAAAAATTGGGCGAAGCCGCTTATGCAGGGGAGGTTTGCACAACCCATCCTGTCTATTGAAACCAAAATCTCAGATTTGGGAGAGCAGTTTTCGAGAAAGACTGTAGACATTGGGCTAAAGAAAAAAAACAGGCTATTATTCAGGTATTGAAGGGAGTAGGCGGTCTTTCCATTGCTACCTTTTTTAACAAAATCAGTAGTGTACTTTTTGAGCAAAAAAACTTTTTTTTTGCAAAAAGCGAAAAACTGTTCCCAAACGTCTCAAAAAATCAGTTATAAAAGCAAATCCCATATATTTCAAAACGCCTCTTTTTATCAAACAGGAATTCTAGGCAAACAAGCTAAGCAAGATATACTGAAAAAACAAGGTCAAGCCAATAAGCGAACCCTTGACCTTACTTACGAAACAAAACTTACGAAGTAGTAACAAAGCCGACAATCTTTGAGCAGGCACCAGTTGAGCCGAAAAAAAATATATATTTTATAAAAAGCCTTTAAAATTTCAACTGGCCCCTAAAAACTGTTATTAACAACGCTTGAAACAGCCACGATACTTGCTTACAGCACAGAAATCCATGATATGTAAGCCGTAAAAACTTGAGCAGACAAACGAATTTCCGACAATTCAACTTTTACCGAAGTTTTTTTCAAAGGTCATGTCGGGACTCGAACCCTTTACCTCAGAGTGCAAAAGCAAAAGCGTTACCTCCAGTCTAAGTGAAAAGGAACCTGGAAGTTGTTAAGGTTCAATAATGAAGCAAGATCATTTATTATAAGAAAAGTTGTTTACGGGAAAAAAAGTTAGGTTCCGGATTACAAGACAAGTTTAAAATTATTACTTTTTTCTTAAACAAACTGGGCATAGCCACCTATAGGGGTAGGCTTTAAACAATATGGTCTTTCGGTTAAGCTCATAAATATGGGTCAAAGTCCCCCCTCAGACTCTTTCGAAGGCTGTAGACAGAGGGGTCCAGAAAAAGAGACTCTAGGGGATTATGCGGGCAAACAGGGTAGTAGGCAGTCTATAAATTGATACCCTTTTTTGAAAATCAGTAGAAGCTGAGAAAAACCAAAACGTTTTCAACAAATTGGCCGACAATTTCAATTGCAACAATATATAATTGCATCAATAACAGAAAAAAAACAGGTCCTGGTCAGATTCGAAGATAGGACTTTTGCCGTCCTAGACATATTCGTTACCTCCATGCTACGTTGACCGGCAACACATAGACGTTTCAATTCATTATGAACCAAGATACAAGTGATTCTGTCAAACATGTTGATAACCCGAAAAAGTATATTTTACAGTTTGATAACGCTTGCTATTCGAAAACCTAAAGATAACTAGATCCCAGCTAAAAATGGCGAAATCTGTTTGATATTCTTTAAATTTGTTGTACTGATGCGAGACGAAATGGTAATTTCAAAAATTTGACTTTGCCAAAAACCTTAGTGGTTTCTCTACTAAAATAAGTGACAAGAACGAATCTCACAACAGATTCTTTCGATTGCACCTTTCATCTCAGATATTAAAAAAAAATTCAAAAAACTCAAAAACTTGATTTTCCGAAATCCACAACTTTTTTCTGCAAACAGTAGCTAATTGCCGCTTCAGCAAAAAATATACGCAAAGCATGGTTTCTCGATTGAACACTTAATCTAAGAAGGGCAGGGTTGTTTCCGCTTCGTAAGTTTTGTTGCGTGAGTAAGGAACTTTTCGAGAGCCATGAAATTTTTCAAAGAAATTTGGCAAGCCAATCAATATTAATCGGCTTTCAACGTATACCCTCATTGTCAGATTTGGCGAGTTAGTGATCGAGAAAAGTCAAAATTTTACAAAGAACGGTCAACAAATTAAAAATTTGGCTTTTCGAAAATCAGATCTCTATGAGAGAAATGGACTTATGCAGAAGATACTTATGCACGCTGTTATTTCGATTGAACTCAAAACTCGATTTAGTTTCAAACCAAAAAAAAGGGTTAGGGTCCCCACAACAGCCTATAACTTCGTTTGAAAAAACAAGGTCATGCCAATAAGCGAACCCTTGACCTTACTTACGAAACAAAACTTACGAAGCAGTAACAAAGCAGACAATTTTTGAGCAGGCGCCAGTTGAGCCGAAAAAAAATATATATATTTTATAAAAAGCCTTTAAAATTTCAACTGGCCCCTAAAAACTGTTATTAACAACGCTTGAAACAACCACGATACTTGCTTACAGCACAGAAATCCATGATATGGCACCTAAGCCGTAAAAACTTGAGCAGACAAACGAATGTCCGACAATTCAACTTTTACCGAAGTTTTTTTCAAAGGTCATGTCGGGACTCGAACCCTTTACCTTAGAGTGCAAAAGCAAATGCGTTACCTCCAGGCTAAGTGAAAAGGAACCTGGAAGTTGTTAAGGTTCAATAATGAAGCAAGATCATTTATTGTAAGAAAAGTTGTTTACGGGAAAAAAAGTTAAGTTTCGGATTACAAGACAAGTTTAGAACAAAAACAATTTCAACGCAAGCGTTTTCTTGTATCAAATATTCTCCTCTGGTTTTTTAAGCTTGACATTACAGCCTTTGCCAAATTTTTCGCAATTTTGGTGATTATTTCATGTGCAAAATGAAAGAAAAATGTATTTCCAACTTAAAACGCGGTGTTTCAGTTTAATTAAATTCGCTGACCGAAAAAGTAGTGACAACAATTGGCCTTAACTAAACAACTATTTTTCAAATTTCGTTACTTTTGGTAGTCAAAAATTTATTTTGATTTTTTTTTCTGTCACCTTTTTCCTCACTTTACAATCCAAATTGTACAAAAAATTATTCAACGAAGAAAAACAAATCTAATGTCACGAGACAAGGTACTACGCATAACAAATTAACCAACACATGAATGAAACTAGCAAACTTTTGAGAACTTTTGTGAGCATTGGTATAGCTAACCTTTTTCATGATAGCTATTATCATCGAAAGGGTACATCGTGCCACCTTGGGCTAACCGCAAGTGATCACAAACATGCGCCGGAACCTGAGCATGTCCAGCTACATGAGGGTTATTCGTGTATTGCTGCTGTTGAGGTCCCGACACTACAAAACTTTCTTGGGTCGACTGGACCACGTCTGGAATTTGGGATTGTTGCAACATCTGGTTGTTTGCATTTCGGGGACAGTTGTAATTATGCACTTGGCATGGAATCATGTTTGTTTTCTGGGTCGCAACGTTCAGGGACATTGGGTTTTGCTGGGCAGGGGGAACCATATTTGGAAGCGCCTGGGTAGGCACTCTGGGTTGTATTTCAGATCCGTAGATTAACTCATTAGTATCGGTTAGTGAATCGGTTATTGAAGGTGAGTACTCGAGTAACAGACGGACAATTTGGGTGTTTCCAGCCTTAGTTGCTTCTATGAGTGCGTTGGACCCGTCTTTGAGGCGCACTGAGGGGTCAGCTCCGTGCTCTAGCAGTAGTTCGACTACATTCTTGTGGTCTCCTGAGCAAGCTAATGACAGTGGTGTGTGGTCTTCGTTTTGACTCAGTCGGTTGACGTCGGCGCCTAGTGAACAACCAAAAAATTTATTCGGTATATGTTTTAGCTTACTTTTCATATAAAGATGAGTTTTTTTAAATGTATTTTCTATTTTCTGAGCCCTGTCAAAACCCCTGAATGGTCAAACTAACCAATTATTTTGTCTACCACTTAGCCTGAAATAGCCGACCAGGTCGCTTCTTACTATCGCCAATCCTATTAAATCTCCACAATGAGATTGCAAGTTAGGATTGCATGGTTCAGTATAAATGAAAACTCCTTTGAAAATGACAAGTACAAATAACCTCTGCTGACTAGAAACTGCACAGTGCACACGTGTCCAGCTCTTGCTGCCTTCATGAGAGGAGTTCTTCCTCCCTCGCTTTCATGTTCCAACTTAGCTCCACAATTCAACAGGATCTCTGCAACCTCATTATGTCCATTTTCACATGCAAACGACAACGCCGTATCTCCCCCACCCGTTTCCAAGTGCAGATCAGCCCCGCTATTGATTAGAAACTTCACCAAGTCGACGTGACCTTGATGCGCTGCTTCCATCAGAGGGGATGAGCCACCTCCGTTGACGTCGGCACCCGCTGTTCCAAGGAGGAATTTGGCGATATTGATGAATCCGTTGTAGCATGCTAACGTCAAGGCTGTTTCTTGTGTTTCCTCGGTTTGAGCATTAACATTTGCACCTAAGAGTCAAATCAAAATTACCCATGTCTCTATGCTTGATTGGTGGATATCAATAGTCTTTCAGCTATGGATTTATTAGCTAAAAGACTACATGTATCTTTATTCATTAAGAACACCATATAACATACCACAATTGACTAGAAGCATGACCATCGCCTCGTGCCCCTCCCTGGCCGCTTCCATCAACGGCGAATACCCTTCATCGTTTACTTCTTCCAAAGAAGCCCCCTTCTCAATTAACAAATTTGCCAGCTGCAGATGCCCCCCACAAGCGGCCAAGGTCAGAGGGGACTCGAAACTCTCGGTCGGCATATTGACCTTGGCGCCATGATCAATCAGCAACTTTGCTACGTCATAATGACCGTCCATGCATGCTTCCATCAGGGCTGTGTGCATTTCCTCAGTTTGATGGTCTTGGTCTGCTCCTTCTTCCAGGAGAAACTTGACCATTTCATAATGACCTTTGTAGCACGCTAAGGTTAGTGCACTCTCCTTAAACTCACTGGAGTATGCATTGATTCCGGCACCCCTTTCCAGGAGTATCCGGGCTATGTCTACCAGGCCATTGCTAGCTGCCTCCATCAGAGGGGTGTGCCCGTTTTCGTTTTGATCTTCGATTCCAGCTCCCCGCTCCAAAAGCTCTTTGGCAATACTGACATGCCCATTGGCGCATGCATAGTGCAAAGGTGTGTTGCCTAAAACCAGGCTCCACCAAATATTATTCGAAAAAAAAACGAAACTTGTGCAGATAAAAAGGGCCGAGTATTCGATAGTACTAGAAGAAATATCAATTGCCCAAGTACCAAAAGTTAGCAGGCCAGTCATTTTTTTTTGTTTTACGCGTGCAAGAAAGTTCCGCTGAACAATTCATATCGGTTCGTACAACAAAAGCTGTTCAACGGAAATTTGCCTAGCAAAAATTTCAATACCATGCCCCCGCCGTTTAGCACGAAAATCACATTTCTGAAAGATAATAAAAACTATTAAAAAAGATCTTATCAGATTTACCGTTTTCGCTTTGGGCGTTTATATTTGCCCCGTGCTCAATTAGAACCTTGGCGCAGTCTTCGTGCCCATTGACAACGGATTCCATCAAAGGAGTCAAGTCATTTTTGGGACCCCGTTCATCGACTGAGTCACGGTTCATGGCGAGCATCACTTGAACAAGATCCAAGTAACCATTTGCACTCGCCAGCGAGAGCAAACATTCTCCTTCCTCTGTTATTTGTGTAAGGTCTTTGCCTTCAGCCATGAGTTTTTTCAGGCAAGCGTCTGAGGGAATCGAGTCCATGGTTGACATTGAGGAATTCCTATAATTTTGAATTGCACTTAATACTTCTGGATAAACCAGCGAGACTGTTTGATGTTAGTACATTTGACCTTCGCCCTCTAATTGCAAATCAAGAATGGCAAATCATAAGGACCAATAATATTAAACCAATAGTCAGATGTAGCAAAAACTGAACTAACTCGTTTGGAAGTTCATCGCTCCCAATTGAATAGGTGTCGTCGTCACTCCCAACTTCTTCGTCTGTAAAATCAAAAATAGGATGCATATATTATGTTAATTCATATTGAATATTTATTCGATTTTCACCTGCTGCTGGGTGACTGTTAGGGTTGCGAGGTGTTGATACTAAATTTTCCATTTGAGAATCAAAATTTGCAAGAACACGATCGTTGAATTTCTCTCTAAGTCCTTTAGGAATACCTTAAACGAATCAAAAGGCATTCAACTTCATAACCAACTTCTCGCAGAACTTAGGTTGTCTAAATTACTGCGGCTTTCCTTGCTGCTGCTTTTTACCTGCTGCTTTCAAAAGTGCATTTTTTGTAGAGTTTGCATCATCTAGGTTAGCTATTTTAGAATCTTCTGCCATAAAATACCTGAAACAACAACCAGCGATTTACGCAAAGTCTGCGATGTTTCTATATGACTTCAGGCGGAGAACGGTGTGTTATTAGTGAAGAGTCAACGAAAGCGTCAAGTAATGTCTCTGTCAAGCCAGTCGGCCACTTACAATTAGTTAGAAACTGAAAAACTGGAAATTAAATTTTTTGGCAAATTTAAGTTTTTGCACATTAATAAGACTTATTTTCCGGATAAACATTTTTTTTGAACAAATTCATCTATATAGAGCAGTGGCCTCAAATGAAGCAAAAGTACATGTTGGGGTAGATTTCCAGGATTTCTCCCCGAACTCGTTTAGCACTTCTCCAAGTTTTGATACAGTTTTGACAGTCGCATGCGATAAGATCATTTGTAATGCATAGACAAAAAAGAAAACTTAATTCAAAAAATATGGTCGCAATTTAAAAATCATTGGAATGTCATACATTAGGGAAAAGTAAAATTTAACACGAGTAGAAGTGAAGATATTAGATGGCTGTAGTTTTATATTTTTTAAAAGGTCAACTAAAATTGGGTCCTTCCGTCATGCGACGGTCCGTGCACAGGTTGGATAGGACCATACACCAACAAACATCGGCAAAACTTATGCTTAAATGAAGTCGATTTTAAAGCATCCAGATATTTCTCAATTGAAATCTAATCTCCACGATTATAGCACTGAGGGATTGTCTATATTGTATGTATTTTTAAGTTTTTGTACCCCCTGAGGCAGAGAATTGCACTCCTTAGAAGTGCAAAACTTACTTTGGTTCCTATAAAGTTTTTTGTTGTAACAAGCGTCGGACGGAGCTGTAACATTCGCCTGGAAAGTACATAACGACGGAAAGTAAAACTATATCAAATAACGACTGATTAGCGTCACGAAAGAGCTTCACGTGCTTTTCACCGTCCCTAACAAAGCCAGTTCACAATGATCCCCATAACCTCGGGTCAAATAGTTGTTACTGCTTAAAGGCTATCAGGCGAGTCGCGCGAACTAACTTAGTGGCTTGTAAGATAGTGACCTCATGGCTGGTTCTCAGTATCCCCAGACCACGAGGTCACTCCTAAAAAGGGGTTCGATACATTATCTTTATAACTTTACCATATTACTTTTGTTTTTGTACAGTAGAGAAAATCACCCTATCCATCGGAGATGGATCGATCATTTCCGTAACCTTTAGCGTCTCATAGCCTGAAAGTGAAAATAGGTGTTATAATTTAATTGCAGGACATCTCTGCAAGCTAAAAGTTATTTAAACAACAGCTCGGGAATGTAACAGTCGCCATACTCAGGTCTCAAAATACCCTAAATACGCGAACGCCGTTAAAAACAGTGTCGGAACAGTCTGTACAATTACTTTTCATTAGACAGTGGAACTTTGATCCATTTCAGATGGAACAACCTAAAACTCTCCTTACCTGAACATAACAATTACAAAACACACTCAAGAAAACTAAAATGGGTACTAACATACCAGCACACTCGAGAATTGGGGTAACTAAATTAATCAGCAAGTCTAGCCTTAAAGGTAATTAAGTTTTATTTCAAGAAGTTTGTATTCAATGAATTCCAGCAAAGGAAATGAGCTTTGACTTCAGAATTGAGTTTTGGAACTGGACCATTGGGAGACCCCAGCTGTCCGCCTTTCCACTGAGGGTTCACTCTGGTCCACTTCTTACTGAGAAGAAAAAAGAGAAAAAAAGTTTAATTTGAACAACTCAAATGAGATAAATGAGTTTTTAAAGTAAAACTATACTGTTCACTGTCTATGAAGGATTTTCACCAACCGCGTTCTAGTTTGTAGATCCTTGATATACGAGCAGTTGTCTAGCAGGTGGTTGTAGTTATCAGCCGTAGATTCGCAATATTTACAATCACATGAGCAGTCCGGTTTGTAGCAGCGTTCAGTCTTACAAATCGCGTTATGTAGGCCGTTGTTATAGTAGCTGGCTATGGCTCTGCGCGTTTGCCCAGTTGATTTTTCGATGTTCAGAAAGTCGTTTTCAAAAATGTGATGTAGCAGTCGGCTAGTAGACGCATATTTGGATAACCCAGACCAGCGTTTCCAGAAGTACCCTGCAACTGGTTTCGCGTGCTCTAAACTGTCTGTAAAAATGCTGCAACCGTAATTAGCCGATGGCAGACTAACACTCATGAATAGTCTGTGTGCATGCTGGAGCTGTAGTTTTTGAATATTGACTTTTGCAAACAAGGCGTTGATGTTGTTTATACCTTTTCTTAGTCTTTCATTCAAGTGGGCGGTTTTCTTGTTGGTGGCCGTCAGAATAAACCCCAAGTATTCGAAGGAGTTGGTGAATTCAATGTCTTCTCCCATGTAGTAGATGCGATCTGTACTCTTCAATCTGCCTCCGCGGCGAAATTTTATGACTTTTGTTTTACCGACATTAACGTTCATGTTGTTGTTTTTACAGTAAATACCGAGCTTGTAAAGGGCCAACTGGATGTCAAACGGTGATGATGAAGTGATTACTACATCGTCTGCATAGAATATGCAGAAACACTTACACTGAACAAAAATTTCTGCCAAATCAGCAATAAACAGGGAAAACAAAAGAGGAGAGAGTTTGTCTCTTTGTGGTAGACCAAGCCGCTGGAGTATCGGGGAAGATAGATAACCATCATTAACGACATGTACCATGTTGTGACGTAGGATATCATGTAGGACGAGCAGAAAATTGTTGGATACACCCATCTTCGCCAATTTTTGTAATAAAGTAGAGCGATCAATGCTGTCGAAAGCCTTACGGAAATCGATGAAGCACGCATAGAGGTGGCCATTTGTTGCGATTGATGTGTCAATGTTCTCCCTGAGAATTCTAATAGCCTGAATGGTTGATCTACCTCTACGGAAGCCATACTGGACGTCAGGAATTTTTGCATGCTGTTCGCACCAAGTGGCTAGCCCGTTGTGGAGTATCGATGTATAACATTTATATATACAGTTTAGGAGGGCTATGCCCCGGTAGCAATCCGGATCTTTTTTGCTGCCTTTTCCTTTGTAAAGCGGTATCAGATTTGACACTCGCCAGGCATCGAGAATGGCTTTTGAGTCAAAACAGACCTGGAACAGCGTAAAAATATGCAAATAAAGGAGACCAAAACTTTGTTTCAAAAAATCACCGGTAATCATATCAGGTCCTGGAGCTTTGTTGTTGGCTTGTCTTGATATTGCTTGTGTAACTTCTGGTAGAGAAACTGGGCGGTCCAGGTCGTCGTAGTAGTCGCATGAACTGGGTTCTTCTGGGAAGCTAACGTCTCTCTCGCCTTGGAATAAGGCTTCAAAATGAGTAATCCACACGTCTTGTTGTACTTGAGATGGCATGTTGGGGCGTTTCTTGCTACTCAAAATGCTCCAAAACTTGGATCGGTCAGCTTCTGCTGTGATAATAATAGTTTCTTTTCGATCTTTCTCGTGTGCTGTGCGTTTTTTTCTGCATAGCGCCTTGAAAGACCGTTTCGCTTGAGAGTAGCTCCCCAAATTGCTTTCCCCAGTATTTGTTAGGTACCATTGTAGTTTCAAAATTTTGTGCGCTTGGTAGCAGTGCCTGTCGAACCACGGCTTTGAATGTCTCTTCTTGCTTGGTCTCGAGATGTTGTAGCTTAATTTAAGGAAATGAGAGTAGCAATTATTTGAATCTGACAGGTTGTCATACATGACAAGTTGATGCTGTTCGTAGGTGTTAGGGTCGAAGAGGAGGGCGTGCTGTTTCTTCTTGTCGACTTTCCCGGCATGAAAAACTATTCTGCAGGAAAAAATCTGATGTTTTGTCTGAAACATCTGTTGCGTAGCCTGAATTGTTGCTGTTATATTTTTTGCAAAGAAAAGATCAATCGTACTCGAGCCATTGTGGGAATAATAAATGCGATTTTCTAGAGAGTTGATGCAGTGAAGGCCAGCAAATTGTAGGTTTTCACATAGAATCTCACCCCGTACGTGATCACCATCAACGCGACAGTTGAAATCGCCACCGAGTAGGATTTTTGCACAGGTGGGCACTGTGTCTAGGAATTGAAAGATGTCAAGAAGAATATCATCAACGCAGGTGTTCGGTGGGTAGTAGCAAACAATGATGTTAAGTAAGTTAACAGATACACACAGCATATTTTCATTTTTATAGACCTCGGTGCTTCTGCAGTCTAGGCTCTTGCTGACGCAAATAGATAAGCCTCCCATAGGCCGTCCTCTCTGTGGCTTCACGGCTTCGGCAAAGTAACAGTAAAGACCTGGTAAAAGGCAAGATATGTCATGTGTAGCTAGCGTTTCTGTTAGTAGTAATAAATCCGTGTCGAGTTCATTGTTTGTCAGTAGTGGAATGTTTGTCTTAGCACCTTCTATGTTCCACAGAATTACTTTCAGCTCTTCTGTGTTAGGTTTCATTGACTGCTGTAGTCATATTGAAACCACCATATTGTTTCTGATAATCCATGTTTTTTCCGAGTCAGTCTCTCTCTTGCTTCTCAGCTCTTGTCGTAGCTCATACTGCTGTGCTTGTTCGGCTTTTGTATAGTCAGGGTTGATAAATACTCCCTTAAATTCATCACAATCGTTCAATTTTTTGCTACTTTTCAGTAGTTTTAGACGTGTTATGGCGTCTTTGAACGTAACGATGAGGAGCGGATTCGCATTGGCGTTGTTTTTCTTCTTGATTCGGCGTGTTGTAAATTCGTCTTCTTCAAGTGTGACAGAAACCGCACTGGCTAGATCTGTTAGCATCTCTTTGTCGGTTTGATCTTTGTCGGCTTTCAAACCACGGATAACAAGGTTGTTTGATTTTTCCGTTTGTTGTTTTTCTTCCGCTTTAACCTGTTCAACAATGGTGGCGCAGAGACTGCTGTTTTTCATATTCTTCGTAATTTCGACGTAAGAGGGTTCAGTCTTCGTTTCATGATGCACTTTCAGTTCTGCTAGTCTTTTTGTGGCACAAAAACCACAAAGAAAGTCTGCTTTTTCTAGAGTTGCAACGGCGATAGTTTTTGGCAATAAAACTGTTGTCCATATATCACAGCCGTCGCTGGAGCACCCTATTTCTTTCTTTATGTAGTTGTTGGAATCTCGTCTTGTAATCATTGTCCCAGATGCTGGTGATGATCAAGATCAATCGTACTATTACTTATCGATTTAATAAGTTTATCACAACAATTATCCACTTCCTACTTGTGTCTGCTTTGTTCGCAATCACTCTGCCTCCTGTTCATGATAGGACAGGTATACTCTAGTGTGAATTTTGGCTGGAAATGGCGAATAGCAATTTCCCGCTGCTTTTTTCAATTACTTTCCCGCGCTTGTAATTCGGTTGTTCTGATCTTGTATTTCTGAGATTTTCAGTTGTCGCAAGAAAGTTGAGCATGACAGGCTCAATTCCAATTTTTGAAAAGTTCCATTTCACCCCAAAATTACGTTGTCAAACTTCCAAATTTGACCGACTGGCACAGAACAATAATCCGGACCCCTCCGGTTCCTTCGATTTTCTTCTTTTGCAGTCTTCACTTTTGGCTTTCCCGCTCGGTTCAACCCTTTCGGTAACAATTGATTTAGCAGAATCGTTACAATTCGGGAGGCTTCTTGTTTTCTTGATAATTCTATCTCCTGATGTCGTCGCAATTTTTTCTCGCTCTCTGTGATTGTGTCTCTGCAAGCGAAAATCACGGTTTTTTTACTCGGTTCAAAGTGACCCTCTCAATCCGTTCTTTTTGTCAAGAAGGACCGCTAATCGCAGGAACTGCTTTTTCGTGCATTCGAACCTCTTTTGATAAAACTCGTAATGAAGAACCATTTTCTGGCGGAACTCTGTTCGAATGACACAAGCGTGAAAAAGTACCTATTGGCGACTGGCTGACGTCAATTACAATAATCCTACTCGTTTTCCACTGTCTCGACCTAGCCAGTTTTTTTTCTGGTCTAAAAAGGGCTAAGTGCTATGTTACCACTTCTAGGCCATCAGCCATACAACTTTTGATCAGCTTTCGCTTACGTGCAAAAATAGCCACATAGCTGGGGTTGGGATACCCAGTCAACATGATTATTATTGAAAACACGTATTGATATCCACAATTTGATATGTTTTTACTGACAGATATTTATCAAATCCATTCGAGATGGATTGACTCTTTCTCGACTCTAACTGCTCATGCTCTGGAAATATGAAAACAAAATTGGGGTGAATTAAATGCGTTCAGGGCATTACAGCAGCTATAATATATCGTTCATGTTTTCTAGCAGTCTCTGGCCACCGGACCTCTGACTCCGTACTCTCCCGGAGATAACTTTGTTATCTCCCAATCTATGATGCACGGGAGGTTGGGATCCGTCCCGAAGGTCCCATTGGACCTTCCGTTTCCACAATATTCTTCTGATAAGAAGCCCCGTTTTTCTTCCATCTTTCAATCTTCTTTTTCGACTAACTTTTGAAATTCGGCTGTCCTGTTTTTCTGTATAATTTAAGTCAAAATGGCCGTTTTTGTTTTTTTCCCCAGAAATGTCCCAGTCCGAATCGAAATTCTAAAAATTTGAAATTCTGGAACATTCTGAGCCTCTTTTTTTCTCGGACTTCGATCATAGCGCCTTTAATATTGTTCTCAGCATACGTTTTGCTCCAGGTCAGATGGTAAGACCGCCTTTTTTTCGCTCTCTGTCGTACAAGACATCTCAGCTACACGCTTCATAGCTGTAGTGACATCGTTTCAATCAGTCAGAAATGCTCTCTTTTATGCACCCGGTCCTATATCCAACTGAATTGACTGATAAAGTTCCGTGTTTCTCGACCTATGACGCATCGCGCGCTTACATATTCATGACGTCATCACAGCACGGAACCAAGTCATCAATCTCTGTCTCATCCATACCATTTCAAATGCTTTCGGTATCTTTGGAAACTTACAGGTGGTTTTAAAAAAGTCCAACTCGTTGTTGAAGTTCACGCTGTTTAGCTGTTTAGGTGTAGGTATATCCATTTCCTGCTCACTCGTTCCAGCATTGGCTTCCAACCACCTCACCGCGATCATGGCACTGACTACAAGAACCGATACGGGTTGGGCTTGGTTGCCCAATCCCGTGGTTGGGCAATCCCGTGGTTGGGCGATACGCCGTTTGGGGTATCGTTTTCTGACTCGAAAAACCTTTTTGTGATGATGAGTTGTGTACTTAGAGTTCACATGTAAGCGCGCAGATGTAGATCTAAAATGTAATTGGTTGTCGCCTGTTTTGCCGCAAATGTAAAAACAATATAGTCCCGCCATTCAAGCCCGAAAAAGACCGCTAATAACAGGAACTGCTTTTTCGTGCAGTCGAACCTCTTTTGATAAAATTCGTTTTGAAGAACCATTTTCTGGCGGAATTCTGTTTGAATGGCACAAGCGTGAAAAAGTACCTATTGACAAAGGGCTGACGTCAGTTACCTTAATCCTACTCGTTTTCCACTGTCTCGACCTAGCTAGTTGTTTTTCTGGCCTGATAAGGGCTAAGTACTTTGTTACCACTTTTAGGCCATCAGCCATACAACTTTTGACCAGCTTTCGATAACGTGCATAAATAACCACATAGCTGGGGTTGGGATACCCAGTCAAACAGATTGTTATTGAAAACACGGATTGATAACCACAATTTGATATGCTTTTACTGACAGATATATACCAAATCCATTCGAGATGGATTGACTCTTTCCTCGACTCTGATATATGAAATCAATATTGGGGTAAATTAAATGCGTTCAGGGCATTACAGCAGCTAAAATATATCGTTCACAATTTCTAACAGTCTCTGGCACCGGACGTATGACTCCGTACTCTCCCTGAAATTACGGCGTTATCTCCCAATCTCTGATGCACGGGAGGTTGGATCCGTCCCAAATGTCCCATTGGACCTTCCGTACCCACAAACTTTTTCTGATAAGCGCCTTGTGAAGTCTTCGTGTCACGATAAGAAGTCCCGTTTTTCTTCTATCTTTCAATCTTCTTATTCAACTAACCGTCGTCTTGAAATTCGGCTGTCCTGTTTTTCTGTATAATTTCTGTCAAAAAGGCCGTTTTTGACTTTTTCCAGAAAAGTCCCAGTCGGAATCGAAATTCTGAAAATTTGAAATTCTGGAACATTCTGAGCCTCTTTTCTACTCGGACTTCCATCATAACGCCTTTAATATTGCTCTCAGCGTGCGTCGGAAGGTTCAACTGTGACAGTCCGCGGACTGGCGCATACTCTCCGGAAATTCTCTTCAGTTTCCCCAATGAACTCAAAACTCCGGGTTATGTTCAAGTGGTGATCAAGTGTTCTTTAAAAAATTTACAAACCGCACCAGAAATTAAATTTTTTCTACCTTACGTTAACTCACCACGTGTCAAAAATGGCATCATACTACAACTCACTACGTCCTTATATTTTCAACAAATATGCACCATGAGTAGTGTTCTAGATAAAATTTATTTTCTGACCACTTACGTCCATCTATCTTTAATTTTTTTTCGCTCTGGCTTGTTTGAAAAGCCTTGGGACGTGGCACGGCCATGCACCCGTTGAAATTACCTCAAATTGATCACCAAGTGTAACGGTTTATACATGCTGTTGCCCTAAATATTAAAAAAAAAAGAAACTCTGTGGCTAGGAAAAACAATGAGATACCCACTCTGCTCGAGCGAGCAATCCAAACTATACCAAGTCGCCACAAAGTGAAGATTTGTCCGCTGCAGGTTAAAAACTTCAGTCGGGTTTAAATAAGTTAGTATACTTATTATTCACCTGTATAAATAAATAATAACAAACTAAACTTTTCATTGTATACCATTAATTTTAAATAACAAAATACAAGTGTTTCAATATCGGGTCTGACCAGGTTCTAACCAAAACAAAAAGTTTGAAGTTTTCAAATCACCAAGCTTAGTTGGCCAGGCTAAGTTTTCACACACAATGACAATTCAGTTTCTTATCTCTACTCGGTTCTGTCTTCGTCTCGTCTTCGCCAACTTTCATGCCATGACATCATGTTCTTGCTGTTTACAGCAGGGAAGGAGATCCACATTCAAATTCTGTTCCCTGTTCCGTCAGTAACTGTTATGTAAGCACAGGCTTACGTTTCGCTCCAGGTCAGATAGCAAGACCGCCTTCTGTTTGCTCTCTGTCGTACAAGACATCTCAGATATACGCTTAATAGCCGTAGTGACCTCGTTTCCATGAGTCAGAAATGCTCTCTCTCATGCACCCAGTCCTTTATCCAACTGGAATGACTGATAAACTTCTGTGTTTCTCGACATTTTTTTTTTCACTTTGAAATGAGATAATCCCGGAATTCTCATTGTTTGTTCAATGTTTTTAAACTTTCTCTTTTTTTTCATTCTCATGTTGTTTTCTGAAACTCATTCAAAGCCAAAGAAAAAATCAAAAAGCTAATTTTTTATACAGGGATGAACGAAAGTCTAACACATAGCCATTTTTTTCCTACCCAAAATGTTTTCTTTTTCGAATGTAACAAGAAAACGTATTTTTAAGCTCTGAAAACGGTACAAAATTTTATTCGTAGATCAAAAGAAGCTCAACCATACCAATTTTTTTGAAACCAATAAGTTTCCGTAGAGAAATGATCTTTTTTCTGCTGCCAGTCATTCTGTTATCAATATTTTTTCTAGGACTCATAACTTTATGAGTCAATTTTAACTTGATTTGAATGTAGTTTCATGCAAAATACCATGACTAGAGCTTTTTAAAGCGCTCCCATTTTTTGCCAAATTAGAGAAAAATAGGTGTTTTGACTAATCGCAACTTTTGCGAAAATTGACTTTTATACCAGTTCCGAGTTTTCCCTCGTGTCTTTGAAGTTTTCCTTTTTACTGAGGAAGGCAAGGTATTTGGAAAACAAAGTAGATGAGTGATTACGATGAACCTATTGTAGTTTTAGTTTCTAAGAATACCTATAGGGGAAGCCGTACCAAAAACAAAAAATCTATAGCCAAATACAAATTGGATTTTGCAATTACATCTAAACATACTTTTAGTTTGAGCATGCGAGGTAGCTCTCGAAGCAATTTTAGAAGCACATTTAGTATTAAAGCAAACTTAATTGTGCTGTAAGCATTAAAAATTGGTTTAGTTCTTTTTTTTAAAACATAAATCCAAAGCTTTAGTTTATGCTTAACTTGTCCAAGTTGATCA